AAAGAACCTAACCTCCGAAGAGACAGTCTGGGTGACAGTTCTTATCGCGGCACGAAGTAAACAACACAGGAACGTACTAGATACACAGGAAGCAAGAAAGTCGGCCAGGAAATGCTAAACGGGAATCCTGAACCGGAAAAAGGACACAAACTAGCAATAGAAGAACAAGACAACCAGAAACGAAAAAGAGAAACCTCCTTTTCACCATCACCGGAAGGTAAAAGAGTACAGAGGAAGCAGAAGAGGGTACAAGCGGGAGACATGGACGAAGTAAAGAATATGTTCAAAACGTTAATGGAGGAAATCGCAGAAATGAAAAGAGACCAAAGAGCATACCAAACAGAAGTAACAACACTAAAAGAAGAAAACCAAAGACTGACCGAAAGATTAGAAAGAGTGGAGCAACACTTAGAAAAACTGGAAAAAGCAGAAAGGAGAAACAACATCGTAATCAAAGGAGGGAAACTACAAGGAAGCGAAATAACAGCAGAGGTTGAAGAACTCCTAAAAAATAAGGTAGGAATCCAAACTAAGATACAAGACGCAAGATTAGTCAGCGAAAAATACGACATAGTAGTAGCAAAGATAGAGAACTGGGACACAAAAAGAGCAATCATGAAACAGAAGAACAAATTAAAAGGATCAAAAACGTTTATTGAAGACGATTACACCAAACAAGAGAGCGAGATACAGAAGAAAATAAGAGGAATAGCAGCAGCAGAAAAAGGGAAAGGAGTCGAGGCAAAAGTAGGGTACAGAAAGATGATATGGGCAGGAGAAGTCTGGCATTGGGACACTAAATTAGACAAATTAGTGAAAGCACCGTCGCACCCCAAAGAAAATCCAAAAAACTAACAGAGGAAGAAACCACACACCGGAAAACAATGACGACGTATGCAAAGCTCATGGATGACCCGATAGGAATTACGAAGGGAAAGAAAAACCCGAAAATTAGAATAGGAACATGGAATGTTCGAGGAACATATAGCGAAGGAAAACTCAAACAAATAGTTCAGGAATTACAAAGGTATAATATAGATGTAGCAGCTATACAAGAGACGAAACAAAAAGGCAAATTCATCACTGAAATAGACAACTACATATTATTTAATAGCGGAATTGACAACAGAGAACTAGGAACAGGATTCATGGTGAAGAAGAGCCTGAAAGGAGCAGTAATTACCTTCAAACCAATCTCAGAAAGAATGAGCTATATAAGTGAATAAATGTAGACTGTCTGTCTGTTGGATAATTATCCAACAGACAGACAGTCTAACAGGATAAATGCTTTGTAGTATTATAATTATAATTATAACATGCCTACTAAAATCGACTACATGTATTATAAAAAGAGAAAAGAAAAAAGAAAAATACAAACAGGAAATATTCTATGATACAACATGAATACCTAAGTACATATAATTATAATTAACACAATATAAGTTTTTTACAATTTCGTCTAAATGTTGTTACGTTATATTGGAATATATCTAGGACAGATGCTACAACATTGTAACAGCGGCATATATTATTTAACGGTGCATAATAATGTTGGTTTGTTCTGCATGTATCTATTGAAAATGTTACATGATGTCGACTATTTAGACGCGGGACTAGAAAATGGATATCGTTGAGAAGTTTGGTGTTTACAATGATACCATGAATTAGCTTGAAAAGAAAATAAATATTACCAAACGTTCTTCTAGCCTTTAGTGTACAAAGATTAAATTCTTTTAAGAGAATATCATTAGGATATGATCTAACTGGATACACACCATGTTTAATATAATATAATCTCTTACAAAATTTTCTCTGTATTCGTTCGAGCGGCGCAATATGAATATCATAATATGGATCCCATATCGTACTACCATATTCTAATTTAGCCCTAACATATATATATATATAGTACAGCGTTAACAATGTTTCCGTGTTTCTAAAATGTACCGTGTTCCTATATATAAATCCCATCATTTTTGTGGCATGGTTACATAAATATTGTATGTGTGGTACAAATGTCAACTGTGGATCTAGAATAATACCAAAATCTTTAATTTGATTAACTTTGTCAATTGCTGATCCATTCAAAGTATAACTGTAATCTATATTCGAAGTTGTTCTAGAAAAAGTAATTACTTTACATTTAGATACATTAATTTTCAGAAAATTTGTTGTACACCACGATTTAAAACCATCTAAATGTGCTTGCAGTAGTTGACAGTCAACAGTAGATTCTATACGATTAGCAATTTTTAAGTCGTCCGCATAGACAAACACTCGACAACGAAATAAAGACAAAGCATCGTTAAAGTACATAACAAAAAGAATTGGTCCTAACGTTGATCCTTGTGTAACGCCACTCTCAGTATTATACAATTGTGAGCGGTACCCATGATATTCTACAAATTGTTGCCGGTTGCCAAGTAGCGATTTAAATAAATTTATCAGATTGTTACATAAGCCAAAAGTGTTTAACTTCCTAATTAGGATAGAACCACGTCAAAGGCTTTGGATAGATCAGTATATAACACATCGACTTGTTTCTTAGAATCTAATACACTGGATACATATTGAATATATTCACAAAGGTTCGTCGTCGTAGATTTGCCCTTAATAAAACCGTGTTGGTTGTCACTAATCATGCATGCTATGTGGCTAGATAAATTTTTTGCTAAGATGGCTTCAAAAATTTTTGCAAAATTCGAGATAACCGCTATTGGTCTGTAATTTTGAACATCATGTCGTTCACCGGTTTTATGAATAGGAACTACCTTTGTCGTTTTCCACATCTTCGGAAAAGTTGCTTTCTGAACTATGATATTAAACAAATGACATAATGGTTGACATAAACAAGAAATACAGTCTTTCACTAAAAATGCAGGTACACTATCAGGTCCCATTGTAAAATTTGGTTTAATTTTCTTGAGAGCTTGGTAAATATCACAGGTCGTTATCACAAAATTATTTAACACTGGAAACATATCACTAGTATTATCACAGAAGGTTGAATTATCACAGGGAATGTCACTAATAAAGACCGAACTGAAGAAATCAGCAAAGGCATTGACGATATCTTGTTGATGAACTAACTCCTTATCTCGGAAATGCATGTTACTTAGGATGCCGGTGTTATTTCTTTTTAAGTTAATATATTTCCATAAATTCTGTGGATTTGTACTAATATTTTCTTCCGCTCGATTAATAAAATAAACATACTGCATTTTGATTTCACTTTTAATAAGTTTCCTTAGGTTATTAACTTGTACTAGATCTCTCTCAAATTTATGCTTTTTATAACTTTTCCATAGGCGACACTTACGATTAATATAACTGATTATAGTTGGTGTAAACCATACTGGATACTGTATTGTACGAACAGGACACTTGGGAATGTATATATCAAATAAATTATATATCTTATCATAAAAATAGCTGCACGCATCATCCACATCAGTTAATAGTGTTAATTCCGACCAATCTATTGAACATAAACTGCTATATAAACCTATGTAATCGCCCCTACGAAATTTGTATTTAAGACTGTTATTGGAAGTGTAAAACTTGCAGTCATTATAAGTATGGAGTGGAATTTCAAGTTTGATTTCTAATGAAGGATGATGTTGGTCTTCTATAGTTAAAGGATCTTCACAATTCATCACTAAGCAGTTCAAATTGTTGGAAATTCGTACTAAATCTAACAGTCTGGAGTTGATATTCGTTACCATATTTCTTTGAATGAGACCATTGATATTGATGAAGTCCCGTAGAGGGATAGTAGAGCCTGTTATATGTTCAGTAGTGTTATTATGAGTCATCTGAGAGCAATATTGTGGAATATTAAAATCTCCTATAATAAGACTATTTGTGGATAGAGAACAAGTTTCTTCTAAATACTCAAAGATTTCCTCGTAACATTCGTTATGTAATGCTGGTGGTATATAAACATTAACGATATTTAATTTACATTTTCCATTAATATTTAGTGATACACCGATAAGATCTACCTCAGGAACTGGTGATGTAAGTGGTAGCAGCTTACAAACAAAATGTGATTTGACAGCCAGTAATACACCTCTACCCCTGTTTCCGTTGTTAGCCCTATAAACATTATACTGTGTGCTAAAATATTCGCTGTTTAAAACATCATTTTTTAACCAAGTTTCCGTAATTGCTAAAACATCATAGTTACTTATAATAACCTTTGGATAGAAAATATCGGCTTTTGTATTTAATCCTCTGACATTTTGGTAGTATATCTGCAGATTGAAGATTGACTGATGGATAATTACATGTTTTTTGGCACTATTATTTTTGGCATTCCATTATAATATCTTAGTTGAATATCATGTTCTCCCTGTTGTTTGCGACGTTTAAACTCTGAACGAATTAAATAAGAACTATTTTGTTGTCGAGGAGTTAGATCTCGATTTAAATAAAAATTATCTTTGCGTTTATAGGACTTCAGGACATCCAGGGCTTGTTGAGCATTAGCAAATGTCATTTTTAATGGGCGCAATTTATCTCTGTTATATTTACCTAGCCTTAAACATGACAGTACTGATACATTGTCCTTATTGGTAGGAAGAACAATGCTAAGGCATCGGGACGTATCATCTTCTTTACACTCAGTTTCCAGTCGAGATAGACCGGCACATTCAGTATGTACGTTTTTCCGACATATATCGCACGTTACACAATCAGAACAACTTTTAGCTTTTTTGTTACACATTAAACACGTAGACATGTTGTATCAATTAAATGATATTGGTTGTTAAAACTTATACAAACAGAGTTAAATCAGTACAAAATAAATTGCAAATCGTAAAGTCGACTCAACGCGTCGATTGTAATTTTAATGTTTAAGATTGAGAAGTAAGTACAGGGAAATAAGCCTAGTGAATATACATGCACCGACTGAAGAGAAAGATTTAGAAGTAAAAACAGAATATTACGAAGAACTAGAAAGAGAATATGTGAAAATACCAAAGCATGACATTAAAATGGTTATAGGAGACGCCAACGCAATGATAGTTAAAGAGAATTGCTACAGGCCAACAATCGGGAAAGAAAGCAAACACCAAAAAACGAATCAAAATGGAGAAAAACTGATAGAGTTTGCAGAAGAAAATAAAATGGTAGTCAAAAGAACCTTCTTTGCGCAGAAAGAGATCTACAAAGGCACATGGATGTCGCCTGACGGAAAAACGGTCAACCAAATAGACCACATACTGGTAGAAAGGAGAGATGCCCAACTAATAACCAGATTAAGAAGCTACAGGGGAGCAGAAGCGAATTCAGACCACTTTCTAGTAAGAGCAGACCTCAAACAAGAAATACCGAAGAAAAAAGAAGGAAAGAAGACGCAACGTGATATAAATGTAAACAAACTTAAGAAAGCTGAAGTACAACAGGAATACGAACAAAAGATGAATGAGAGAATAAGATCAACAGAGCAAGACATACCTATAGAAGAGAGGTGGGAAGAACTACACGAGAACATATGGAAGACCTCGGAAGAAGTATTAGGGTTCGTCAAAAAAGACAACAAAAATAGAAACGAATGGTTTGACGAGGAATGTAGAAAAGCAATAGAAGCGGGGAGGTAAGCCAGACAGAAATATCTAAAATCAAAAAATGAGAAGAACCAAAAAGATTACCAAGAAAAAAGGAAAGAGTACAAGAAGATATGCAGAAATAAGAAACGAACAAAGATGGAAGAACAAATACGACAAATAGAAGAAAACTTCAACAAGAATGAAATAAGGAACTTCTACCAGGACGTGAAAAAAGAGAAAAGTGGCTATCAACCACGAGCAATATATTGTAAAGACAAGGACGGCAACCTGATAGGAGACGAACAAGCAAGAATAAAACGATGGGCAGAATACTTTGAAGAGCTGCTAAACGAACAGGATACACAGCAAGATACGAACAAAAGAGTGAACGACTCGGATGACCCAGATGAAACAATAGAAATTGACGAAGGAGAGATCAGAGAAACACTAAAGCAGATGAAAAACAACAAAAGTCCTGGTAGAAACGGAATAAAGGGCGAGATGCTAAAATACGGAGGAGAAGCAGTAGCATAGAGATACATCGACTAGTGCTAGAATGTTGGAAGGAAGGAAAAATGCCAGAACAATGGACTAAAGCAGTACTTTGCCCGATATTTAAAAAAGGAGATATTACGAAATGCGAAAATTGTCGCGGAATAGCGCTGCTAGACGTAACGGCCACTTGCATCAACCGAAGACTAAAGCAGCATATGGAAAAAATAGTAGGAGAATATCAAGCAGGGTTTAGGAAAAATAGATCTACTGTAGACCAGATATTTATATTGAAGCAACTACAAGAAGTACATTCCGAACAAGGAATCAACTTATATCTGCTGTTCATAGACTTTAAAAAAGCCTACGACGCGGTTAACAGGAAAGTACTGCTAGAAGCCATGCAAGAACTGGAGTCCCAAGAAAACTAATAAAACTGACAAAGATGACCCTACAGAGCACCAGAAACAGAGTGTAACGAAGCGAATTTTCGCGGGCCGGAAACCGTGGCGCGTACCGCGAAAGCCGGGGGTAAATTGGCGATCGCCGCGCCGCCGCGGCGGAAGTAGAGGATTCTTCCCTGCAACTCCAGAGAGTGCGGAAGTGCGTGGCTGCTGTCCTGGTGAAGAGTGTTTTTGAGAAGTAAGAAGTCCGCAGTTGACCCTCCGACCACCGTAAGTACCTTTTTGGGTCGTCTGCCCGTCTTAGTACCGGTTTTGGAATCGCCGCCCCCGAGCGAGAAACCGTGTCACCATCACCGCGTTTTTTTTGTCACCGTCGAAAGTCGACACCGTCGTGCACGCGTCGTTACCGTCACCGCGCTCCCCTCCCCGGTCGCCGTACCGTCTTCGCGCGATTTCCAGGTTCAAGGTCGCCGCCCCCAGAGCCAAGAGGAGCCCGGCTTGAAGGAAGTCGCCGCCCAGGAGGAACGACCGTGCCGGACATTTAATTTTTTTTTTGTTGTAAAACCGTTCTGTAGTTATTTAAGTTGATTAGCCGTAAGATTTATTATCTTAGAACGTGTAGCTGGTGGCAGGGAATAAACCCTATTTTTGTTATAAAATACCCTCGCCGTTTTATTTCTTATTCTCGAGTTTTCGCGGCGGCTCATCACCTGAATTCCGTGTCTCCGGCTTTAGAGCACCCCGGCGCTCCCTCCCCCGGAGAGGGAGCTGGCGCCCGAGCGACCGCCGCTCCTGACCGAAGGCGCCACCCCCGGCGGCGTGAAGGTAGCCGCATAAGCTTGGTCGACCAGACGTGTTTCTGATATCAGCGATACTAGTCGACCCAAAGCTTGGCACCCAAGTACGCCGCCACCCCATACGTTATCGGCGAGATTCCGGACCGTCACCGGACCGTCCGTCCCCCATCATCCGGAATTTCGTCGCAAGAGTCAGGATAAATGGTCTGTTGTCAGAACCATTCCAAGTAAGAACAGGACTCCGGCAAGGAGATCCAACATCAACTAACCTGTTCAATCTAGTACTCGAAGCAATAATAAGGAGAAGTGGCATCCACAGAACGAGCACGATATACGAAAAAAGACACCAAAATATAGCCTTTGCAGATGACGTGACATGTATAACGAGAAAAGAAGCAGAAATGAAGAAAATGACAAAAAATCTAATCAGAGAAGCGAAACGAATGGGTTTAGCGATCAACCAAGAGAAAACGAAGTTTATGAAGATGGAAACAAAACAAACCCCAGCAAAACCACTGAAAGTAACTACAGAAGAAGGAACAACATACGAATTCGAAGAAGTAAATAGGTTCAAATATCTAGGAGTAGTAATTACAAACAAAAACGAAATGAACGAAGAAATAGAAGAACGGATCGCGAAAGCAAACAAGAGTGTAGGAAGATTAAACAGATTTCTGAGGAGTAAGAATGTAACACGACGAACAAAGAAACAAGTATATAAGACAATAGTAAGACCTACAGTCCTGTACACTAGTGAAACATGGACGCTAACGAACGAAAAGGAACAGAAGTTGGAAGTATGGGAACGCAAGATACTACGAAAGATATATGGAGGTTCAAAAGAACTAGACCAATGGAGAAGAAGAATAAACCAAGAGATCGAGGAAATATACGGAGAACCAACAATCACGAAGATAATCAGAGCACAGAGACTAAGATGGCTAGGCCACGTCAGAAGAGCACCAGAGGAAAGGACAATTGGGAAAGTATTAGACCCCCTAAAAGGAGGAAAGAAAAAGAGAGGAAGGCCAAAACTGAAATGGATAGACGATGTTCGAAAAGATCTTCAAAACTTAGGCATTGAAAATTGGAGATCCAAAGCAGCCGACAGGAACAAATGGAAAATTATTGTTAAAAAAGCCCAGGGCCTTTAAGGCCTGCAGAGCTGAATTATATATATATATATAATAATCTCATTGCACCGTTGGTAATGTCTATTATTTGTTTAGAAAAGGTTAGTGATGTGTCCATAATGACACCTAAATCAGAGAAACTAGTGCATGTTTTAATAACAAAGCCGTTTATATTATGGTGAAATGTTATCATACTCACTGTTCGTGTGTACGACATTACTGTGCATTTTTTACAGTTAATTTCGAATTTATTTTTATTACAAACAGTATTCCATGAATTTGTAGATGTTATCTTGTAGTATTAAACAGTCTCCGTAAGTGCGAATAGTACAAACAAGTTTTAAGTCGTCAGCATAGATGTAGACTTTGCACCTTAATTGATGACATAATTAAAAAAAACAACAAGCAGCAGTGGGCCCAAATTTGAGCCTTGGGCTACTCCACTATTAACACGAAATGGTTGAGATTTGTAACCGTTGTATTCAACATATTGTTGTCTACCCATTAGCAAAGATTTCACGAGGAATACTAAATGATCACACGATCCCCATTTTTAAATTTTATGTAACAAAATGCAATGGTTGATTTTGTCGAAAACCTTGCTTAGATCTGTGTAAACCACATCTGTTTGCAGCCTATCATCTAATGCTTTAGATTCAAAATGCGTAAACGAACTTAAGTTTGTTGCAGTAGATCTACCCCTAATGAATCCGTGTTGGTCAGATACTATATATTTGGACACATGAGAATAAAATGTTTCTGATATTATAGATTCAAACAGTTTAGCAAAATTACACAACAGAGTAATTGGTCTGAATCCGGATACATCAGATTTATCAGTAGACTTAGGCACAGGGCAAACACAAGATTTTTTCCAGTCTTGAGGATAAGTACAAGTTGCAATAATTAAATAAAAATATGCAGCAATGGTACAACAAAACAGTTAATACAGTCAACAGCAATGAATGCTGGTACGTTATCTGGACGATTCGCTTTAATCTTCTTAACAGATTTCATAATATTCTGCTCGCACACAGAATTTGCAAGCCCCAGAACCAGTATCACAGTTGATATCACAGCAATTATCAATGTTATCACGACTGCAAACACTAGCAAACTGTTGCGCGAAAGCATCTACTATTTCTTGAGGCGAGGTTAACGTCTTTTCTCCATCATTTATAATTCCTGGTATACTACTACATTTCTTCTTCATATTAATCATTGACCAGAATTTTTTAGTATCATGTTTCATTGAATTTTCAGAGTTCTTAATGAAATTTATATAATCTTGCCGCAATGCATGTTTAATTTTCCGTCTAAGGTCTTTAAATTTATGTAAATGGTATAGTAGTCCAGATTTTCTATAATTATTCCAGTGTCTTTTTTTCATCTTAATAAGATCTATGACAGTTTTAGAATACCACATCGGATAGTAACTTTTTGAGCTTAACTTACGTAGTAGTATATGCCGTAAGAACACATCATTTAGAAGTTGGTAAAGGCGATATGTAGCGTTATCAACATTAGTGCACTGCAATACACAGGTCCAGTCTATGTTCAATAAGTCCATATACAAGGTTTGTAGATTAGCTTTACGGAAGTTGAATACAAAATGATCTTTCTGGTCAAAATTTGGTTTATTGGTCTCACTCAGAGGAACGATAATATCAAGGCAAGGATGGTGCAAATCCTTAATGACTAGTGGTTCCTCGTGCCTCCTTATTTCTGCAGAGATGTGATTTGTAGTAATAATTAAGTCCAGAATTCTACCATTGGCATTCAGAATATTGTTATGTTGTGCGATGTTATTTAAATTTATAAAGTGAGCATAAGTATTATAAAAACAAGTTGATTTTGCTCCCGATAAACAATTAGTAAGTTCAGTAATATTGAAATCACCTGCGAGTATTACAGGATGATCAAAGTCAATATTTTGCTCAAGATACTTAAATAGTTCCATGTATTTTGCGCAGGAAGAAGCTGGAAGCACATAGACAACTAAAACTGACAGTATTTTATCATATATAATCACTTTTATCACGATAATTTCAATATTGTTTGGAGAGTTAGGTAGATTAATATTTTTTACGTTCATTTTATTGTTGACAGCTATCAACACTCCTCCTCCTCTACAATTTGTACGATCACATCTAAATACTTCAAATTTGCGAGGAAAAAGTTCATTGGAGAAGGCATCTTCATGCAGTCAGGTCTCAGTTAATAATACCAGATCTACATCCGCTTCACAAACAATAAGAAAGGAATTTTGAGTTTTTGTATTTAATCCTCTTGTATTTTGGTATAATATATTAAGACTGAATACACTCTGATTAGTTATCTGTTGGGTATCTACTTCTTTTTTTGTGTGATGGGTTTTGGCATACCATTCATATATTTTAATTTTAGATTTACCTCGCCATTACTGGTGCGAGTTTTGAACTCCTTACGAACCAGATACGTATTATTCTGTTGTTGTCGAGTAAAGTCTCTATTAACATAAATTTTATTTGTTATTTTGTAATTTGCAATTATATTATAAGCAAGATTAGCCGAAGTAAGTACAACTCGAACTGGTCGACACTTATTTTGAGATTTTTTGCCAATGCGGTAGCATTTAATAAATTCAGCATTTTTTATGCCAGTACTCGATATAATTTTGACTATTCTGTTTAAATCATTCTCAGTTTCATCATCACTCTCACTTTCCTCTCGTAAATTACTCACAATAATATTCGCTGCACGTCGTTACCTTTCCTCAAACTCTTCCAGCAATTGATCATCAGTAAAAATACGTTTACCTTGACAATGAACCTCATCAGTTTCATTTGCTAATTCACCTTGCGTTTTTGTTGATTTCTTTATTTCAGTGATTTCGGATTTAAGATCAATAATTTCCTTTTGAAGCCCTTTGATAATGTCAAACAGGTTGCAACCTTTACACAGATATTTAATTTGTCGATTCACATTTTTTAGGCAAACAATCCACTATTAGGCATTATTACAATCACTAGTACTAGTTAACTCAAAAATAACAATTCAATAAAGGATTATTATCCTTTCCTTCATAAAATTTTGTAGAGGAAAAACTCATTTGAAGCATACGCATAGCAACCTTCTTTACATTTACTTTAGCATTACTTACTTATCTATACTTATATAATAAAGCTGAAGCTTTTGTTTATTTGAACACGTTAATCTCAGAAACTACTGGTTCAAATTCAAAAAATCTTTTTATGTTGGATAGTCCATGTATCATATCTACATATAGGCTATACAACATCACGCTACGATCATTAGGAGCGAAGTAGCAATGAAAAATTCGGAAAAACGGGAAAATTATTCCTCCTTTGACAGCTTCCGTTGATTACGCTGCTTAAACGGTTAAAGTTACGTGAAAATCATGTATGACGAAATTGTTCCCCTCTAAAAGTTCTAAAGAAAAGTCCGCGACAGCATATGTCTATCTTTTAAGGTCGAGTCAGTATAACCTTTTTTATGGTAATGAAATTTGTTCTAAAATAATAATGCATTGTGTATAAAATTCTCGCGTCACAGTGTTTGTAACCGAACTTCTCCGAAATGGGTTGACCGATTTGTATGAAATTTTTTATGTATATTCAGTAGGTCTGAGAATAGGTTGTAAACTATTTTTTAAACCCCTAAGTGATAAGGGTGGCCCACCCTAAAAAAATTTTGTCTATTTTTTGGACAAAATTTCTTATTTTTATTTTTTTAAGAATTGGCATCAAAAAATACACATAACCCTAAATTTTCACCTTTCTACCACCAACCCCCATTTTTTAATCGTCTATAGAATAAAAAGCAATTGCTGTTCCTGTTAGTCTCGCTAAGACTCAAAAACGACTTGACCGATTTGAAGAATTTTTTATATTACGGGGATATTTTATAAATAAAAAAAATAAGGAAAACTTAAAAGAACAGTTAAAAAATAAAAATTTGTAAAAATTTTGTATGGGAATCGCCACTTCGAATTATTTTCAATAGTTGGCGTTTCTGACGGACATGTCGTCTAACTGACGTGTCATACAAAACTAATTCTTCCGTGCAATTGTGAAAAGTATATTACATTTCAAATCGTTCTTTGTTTTTTCGTAAAAAAAAACGTCGTTTATTTTAAGAAAAGTCTTGGTTAAAGTAAATTTAATTACACATTGCGAAAGTTTCTTATTAATTTTGATCTGCCATTCTATTTACCTATATTCACTTTGTTGGTTTTGACAAAACCTCAAACTTTACCGTTATTCGAGGATTTAATTTGAAGTTTTCAATATTTTAAAATTCTCAAGACAAAATTTACAGATTTGATTGACTGTGAAAATAATTACGTGTCGTTTTATGAAGTTTATTAAAATGTCCAGAAGACGACAACTTCACATAGGTCCACGAAGTTAATCAAATGTGCGACGAACTACCTCAGGTGCAAACCGCAATGATTTATTTCATGGGTAATTGGGATATGGAAGTTGATCAGCGTTGTGCTCATAATCAACATAATCAAACATTGAAGCGAGACATTGGGTGGTATGAATAAAACTGAGTAGAAACTAATATTCGAAGTACGAAGTACCTACTTCATTAGTACTCTTATATACCTGAGCATCTACTCTATGTACTGAGTACCTACTTGGAAACATTGTATCTCCCCGGACACAAATTGAACATCTACGCGTTTTGTGAGCATTTAATCTAAAAATGAGGATCGGCGAGGCAAATAACTGATCTGTCTGTAAAGCAGCTTAGAAAACGAGTAGGATCGTTGTAACAGTGAATTTTAACTAAACATGGCGACTTTCATGAACGTGGAACGTCGTCAAAAGGTGCATTCAGTTTGAAAAACACATTAGGAGGGGGAATATCGAAAACTTTTCAGGTAATTAACTTTTATTTATGCATAAATTGTGCAGTGCGTTTTTTATAACACTGGCCATAGAGATTCCCATCTCAAGGTGTCTACCCCATACTAACTTATATTTTGGTGACTCCATTTTTGCTTTGATGGTTGAACACTGTCACTGTTGTCCTTTTTTGTTGTATCGAGATGGTACTTGAGCATCAACTGTTACCTACTGAAGTATTAATATCATCTAGAAATACTAGAAATATTTTGATTTGATATTCGAGTAGATACTTCGTATTTCGAGTCTGAGCATCTACTGAGTTTTATTTATATCAACCATTGTCAAAAAATTGATCGAACGTTGTTTCGACAGAACTTCCTTCGCACCAAAAGTATAATGAAACATATTCAGCATTTTCGAGTTGAGTCTTTTCTTCACACAATTTTGTGATGACCTAATCAACATTTACGATCAACACGTATACCACCTTGGATTGGTGCAGTGTAATACTAAAAATAACTGTATTATATTCTCAAAATTATCTGCGAAAATCGAGTGAGCCATTCCATCAATTTTTTGGGGGGAATAAATAAATATTCTTAACAATTTACCATGCTTACAATAACTTTAAACCGTCTGCAAGATCTCAAAGTATTCATTTTTGCAACTCTTGAGTTATTCACTAAAATAAATTGACTGATCCATATATTTTTTTGAGTCACTGTAAAAGCAAACAAAAAAAAATGTGAATGCAATGATAAATTACGAAAATATACTGATGATATTTTCCACATTTTAGATAGGATTTATTCGGCAAAATCTTGAGATGACGTCTTCAAGTTTTTGGGCTTGATAAACAGATATATTTTGATTGAAAACCTACCATGTCAAACAGTAACTTCAAAACCTCTGCAATATTTCAAAATTCAGTTTTGCAATTCTTGATTCAATCAATAAAATAAATTGACTCAGTGATTTTTTTTTTTGAGACACTCCCTATAAGCAAAACTAAAAAATATGAATGGAATGATAAATCACAAGTATAGTCTCATCCTATTTTAGACATTTTAGATAGGATTCATTTGGCAAAATTTTGGGCTGACGTCATAAATTTTTTGGAGGGGATAAGTAAGTATATTTTGAATACAAATTTGTTATGCTTATCATATGTTTAAAACATCTGCAAGATTTCAAAGCATTCGATTTTGCAGATTCAAAATTAAATTGTAGGTGAAACGAAGTTCACGGGGTCAGCTAGTCACTAATATAACAATGAAATATTTTCGTCCTGATTATCTGTGTTGAAACCACTGCTGTCACATACAACTGCTAATGACTTTATCTGAATAGACCGACAAACACCATACGGTAGCTTATCACGATACCTTCCCTTGTTCACTACTCTACTAATTAATCAATCAGGACAATAGCGATGAGAGAACCATAAACGAGGCAAAGACAACCCACGCAAGATCATCCGAAACGCAAACAATAAATCACTGAAATCTCTAATATAAATTTTTCAATCCAATATCGATACTTGTAAAGTAATAATCATAATTGAGTTTTTAAAATAAAAAATATCAAATTGCCTTCGTTAAGTATTAAACACAAAGGATAACTAATTATCGTCCCTCGTTTCAGCCAACTTCCAGTCACCGGTGAAATATTTAGTGTTTTATGTCTGGAAAAATAAGCAACAATAAAATAATGTCTCCGCTATTCTTGAATTAATTTCCGCTCCCCCAGGAGCGGAAGCCTTGGAATTATCTGCGTCTCTCAAAGATCCAGACGCTCCTTTCAAAATCAGAACTTTCATTTTTTACCATAAAGCGGCGTGCCTGTTCCTGACTTCGCTAAATGATTAATTAACTGAATAAATCGGGATAATTACAAAAGCCTTTGTAGCATTATTACTCAGTTATCTTTATATAATATCAGTGATTATGCAACTGTACAGGTTTCCAGAAACTGTGCAAACCCAGACACTAATTCAAATAACAGATTGACCCAATTATCGTCACAATTTTTACTTTCAGGAGCAAATATTTGCCTTACGAGCACAGGACCGACAAATTAGAATTTCCACCGCGTGTTTCTCATTCCTGACACATTTACCTTGTTGCAAGTGTAATAAACTGCCCCATGCAGTTAATTATATTTCAAAGCTGACATTTGTAAAGGACAATTTCGTGTTAAATAATTAGGGAAAGCTGAAAAGTAATTACGTACTTTGTCGACTCGACTTCTGCGGTTGACAAAAGGCCACCGCATTTTAATTATTAGTTTAAGGAGAACGATGTACAGGTGCAGCGATCTAAAATGGACGAATTAAAAACCTTGCCGGTGATTTACATATTTGAGTTGGATCGATATGTACTTTCGCCGAGTCTCAATCAAAAATCCGACGTTATTTACATTTATTATCGTCGGTGAGCGAGCAGTTAGGGAGGACCACAAAATTGAGCAATAGACCAAATGAATCGACTAATCGGGCACGGGAGAATCATTATCTGTACGTAAGGCGTCCACTACACTGTATAAAATGTATCGAAATATTTTACCGTAGTTTGAGGATTATGATTGGTAAAACGTAGTTGTTGAAGAATTCTCACCTTAATCAATACGCTTGTACAATAACTGCATATTTCTCTAAATTCTTATCCGAAAATAGATTTTTCTTTGTTGTTAAATGTTTTTAGTTCGGGAAAACGAGCGCAGGTTCGAATCCTGCACCTGGAACTTTAGTTGACTTTTTCTTCAAAATCTACTCTAATCAATTTCAAACTTTAATGTTTTCACAAAATGGTATATATGGTTCTGTATTTAAGAAATAAACCCACGGACTAGCTAGGGACGCCGCCACTGATCCGGTGCGTGGCCCCCTTGACGCATCAATGAGCCGGCGGCGGCGTTCTGGGACGTTCGAGAAAATAAAAGCCTAGAAGCGGTTTTTTTTATAAATTTCTTGAAACGCAGCGTCAGCGTGGTGGTTTTAAAAGGGGACACCGTCGGAAGCAATTCATTTCACATCTAGCCCGAAGTGCGGCACGCTATTAAAGTAGGAGAATTATTCGCTGAAGATTATCGCTATTAAGTCAGTTGTATACCCTGGTGTATTCGATAAATAAATCGTTGAGTTTTTATTCACGCCGATTTAATTCCCGTGAATCGTAACACTGGTGTCAGCGGTGGGATTCAACGATTAATAATTGGTTTTATGAAGATTTACGGGCAGGTTGGACAAGAATTCCGAAAATTTATGCTCGTGGAGACTAGAGCTCAAAGTGCAGAGGAAAAAATTAAAGAACTTTTGAGTCGCCCTGTATAAGCAAATCCTGAAATTTTTTTAACGTTTTGTTTAACCCTCCTATTTATCTAATTCTCTTTTAAAAATCTCTTTTAAAAATCGTCGAATTATTATTAAATCCCAGTCCAGAAATCTTTCAATTTATAAACTATTCAATTTATATGGATATAAATAGTGACATTTGTACACTTATTGACTAAAAATATGTAATTATTATAACCTCTATTGAACATTTATGCACTGATCCATTTAACATCGCTGCACCGATCTCCACATCATCCGTATAATATCGTTATGCTTCAAATATCCATACGAACGACCTTATTGTCCCTGAACGCCCTACATACACAGCACACATTCCCATGTTTCAACTATCCACGTTCATGACATTTATTACAATTCGACCTCCGCTTGACTCGTAATCGATGTACATTCGACATTTTTTTCCCCAGTACAATAAAAATTACAGATTGTTCGTCGCAAACACAACATTCCAGTCTGAGCCAATATTTGAACTTTTAACGCTAAAATAACTAACGCATTAAACGCTCATTCCCCTGACAAAAACTTCGAGCTTCAACTTCCATGTTTGGCTTCATCCCGATTTCACGAAGGAGAATTAAAGCGTAATAAAACTAAAAACGTTTAAGTGAAAATTACCGTGCTGGGACTAGAGCTACCTTTTTTTTTTGTTAACGCGCTAAGGAGCTTGTTGGAAAATAAATTATCTTGCTTTATTGTGTCTATCAAAGTAGAGTCTATTTGTAGCACTTTGTTCATCAGACCTTAGAAAGGTCACATCAGGGTGGGTTAATGCTTGTTTGCATCGATCAGTTCGTTGACTTCGGGGTTGTGAATGTTATCTTAAGCTCTTTTTGACGTTTGTTCTTGATAATTATCGTAGCTAGTTTATTTTTTGGGACAACTGATTTTTTGTTTAAATTTTTTATGAAACTAGTTTAATGTATATATTTGTAATACAGCATAAACTTTGCTTGTTTTTTATTTAAGCCCGATTTTTTTTTTAAATATACACCGAAGCTGTTTTTTCTCAGTTCTCGACTAATTATTTATTTATGTGGGGTATCTATTCCTGCACCCAAATCCGATTGAGTTTTCTCTTTTCTACGACATTTCTATTGAATTTGCGACTTCTGTTTACCTTAAACCCTTTCATGTAATTTGTGAACGTCAGTGACTCTGCATTATTTACTTCGAAAGGTATTGGCCTCAGTGCCCTGTATATTCCTGTTTGATGTTAGGATTTCTGTGCGCCTGTGATCCTCTTGGGTAATTTATAAATATACTCTTATGTTTGTAAAGCATTCGTTTCACAATATTGAATGGATTTAATAACGAAAACCGTTAAGTTGGTTAATTTTATTTCATTTCGGTTTTCAATCCCTTACTTTGAAAATTTTAGCCAATTTTCGATGATTTTTGAAACGTAACTAAGGATATTTGTTTATATATTTAGACCTACAGAAATTAGTTTTCAGTCTCGTTTTTTCAATAACTGCTACCATTTTTCCAGAAGAGTTTACTGGAATTTTGCATTTTTTTTAATTAAAAAAAAAAAGATTTTTGAATCAAATATTTCTCAAATCTTGCCCCGGGAGCATAAGTACGCTACATTTTTGGAACCAGCACATTGAAATCTATAACTCTTAGTTTTTTGGGAATTTTTTGACAACATTTTCAAAAGTAAAATTTTTTAGGACGATTATGGCTAAATTTCGACCATTTTGGAAACTCGCCAAACATATTTTCTTCAACCTACAGAAGTTCCTTTCGGCCTCATTTCTTCAATAACGCCTATCATTTTTCTACAACCCTCCTTGGATTATTGCAATTTTTTGAAATTAAAAAAAATAATTTTTATAATAAGTATACTTAATATTTCTAAAATCTTGTCCCGGAGCGATAAACACTCTATATTTTCAGAATCAGTACCTCGAAATCTGTACCTCTGAATATTTTGAGAACTTTTTGATAACTTTTTCTTTAGTATACTGCCTAATGAAAATTTCGACCAATTTTCGACCGTTTTCGAAACTTAACTGAAGACATTTCCTTATAGATTTCGAACAACAGAAATTAATTCATTAGTTTAAAGACATTTTCTTTTAAATTTAGACCTGCAAAAGTTAATTTCTACTTTATTTCTTCCATAACTCCTACTATTTGTCGAGAATCGCCAATTTGAATATTACAATTTTTTGGATTAAAAAAAAAAGATTTTTAAACCGACTATTTCTAAAATCTTGTACCGAAACCATGGATATTATAGTTTTAGAATGAGCTTGTGAAGTCTATATCAATAAATTTTTTGGGAATTTTTTCAAAAGCAAAACTTTTCAATAAAGCTCAGTATGAAAATCTTGGTGAATTTTTGACCATTTTCGAAACTTTACAAAAGACATTCTCTTATAGATTTTAATATATCGCCCATTGAAAAATTTAAATTTTTTGGATTTTTCATACAGAATAATTCTAAAATCTACCCCTTGGACGATAAACACGATATATTTTTGAAATCAGGACGTCATAGTTTATATCCCTATTTTTTTTTTGGCAATTTTTTTGACAACTTTCTCAAAAATAACATTTTTCAGTATACCTGCATAGTATAAAATTTCGGCCAATTCTCGACCATTTTCGAAATTCAACTAAAGACTTTTTCTTATATGTAGATTTTAACCCATAAAATTTAGTTTCGACCTCATTTTTTCCATGACACCCACAATTTTTTCTGAATCGCGAATTGGATTACCTACCGCAAATTTTCGAATTTTTTAAAAAATTGATTTCAAGCCGAATATTTCTACAATCTTACTGAAGATCATAATATGCTATATGTTTGGAATCATTACGTCGAAATCTATATCACTGAATTTTTTTGGAAAATTTTTGGCAACTTTTTTAAAAATAACATTGTTCAATATGATATGAAATGTTAGGCCAATTTTCTACCATTTTCAACAAATAACCAAAGACATTTTCTTATAGATTTCCAAGCCAGTTTAGGCCTCATTTCATCGATAACTAACATTTTCCAAAATCGTCCATCCGAATATTATAGTTTTTGGATATAAAAAAAATTTCAACTAGATTATTTACAAAATATAGCCTTGGGACCTTAAACACGTTATATTTTTGGAATCAGCACATCAAAATCTATATCCCTGAATTTTTTCGCAATTTTTTGAGAATTTTCTCAAAAACAAAATTTTTCAATTATTATTATACGTACGAAAATTTCGACCTAGTTTCGACCATCTTCGAAGTTCAACAGGAGATAGATTTATAGATTTCAACCTACAGAAGTTAATATCAGCCTCATTTATATAATTTTTCCAAAATCGCCCATTGGATTACTACAATTTTTTTGGAGTTTTAAAAAATTGATTTTTAAACCGAATATTTCTAAAACCTTGCTAGGGATCATAAACACGTATATGTTTGGAATCATCACGTCGAAATCTTCAGTATCCAAATTTTTTGGATTTTTTTTGACCATTTTTTCAAGAATAACAATTTTCACTAAATTTTTTGAGGTTTTTTTGACATTTTTTTCGAAAGGGTAATAATTCAATGTATTCAAATTTCATTTTTTTATAGATTTTGACCTACAAAAGTTAGTTTCGACCTCCTTCCTTCAATTTCTCCTGCCACTTTTCTAGAATCGCCCTTTGGAATATTCCAATATTTCGGATCTCTACGACTAGAAATAAGCTATATTTTTGGAATCAGCATCGCTAAATCTATATTTACCGATTTTTGGGAAATTTTTTAAACCTACTTAAAAAAAAATGTTTTATTATAGGAAAATTTTTACCAATTTTCGACCATTTTCGAAATTTAAATAAAGATATTTTCTTATAGATTTCAATCCATAAAAGTTAGTTCCGGGCTCATTTTTTTCCATAACTCCTAGTATTTTTCAAGAATCGTCTACTGGATTGTTGGAATTTTTTTGACTTTTTAAAAAATAAAATTTCCAATCGAGCATTTCTAAAACCTTGCCCCCAGACCATAAATACGCTATATTTTTGGAACCACCACGTCGTAGATTTGGGTACTGATTCTTTTGGAGAATTTTTGAGAACTTTTCCCAAAGCAAAATTTTTCAATAAGAAATGTCGGCCAATTTTCAACTATTTTCGAAACATAACCCAAGACATTTTCTTATCGACTTCGACTTGCAAAAGTCAGTTTCGGTCTCATATTTTATATAACTCCTCCCATTTTTTCCAGAATCGCCCACTGGAATATTGCAATTTTTTGAATTAAAAAAAAAGGTTTTCAAATATAACATTTCTAGAATCTTGCCCCAGGACCGTAAACACGCTGTTTTAGAAATAAACACGTCGTAATGTATTTCACTGAATTTTTTGGGAATTTTTCGACAACTTTTTCAAAAACAAAATTTGTTTGTTAATCCTTTATGAAAATTTCGGGCAATTTTCGACCAACTTGTCTGACATTTTCAAAAGCAAAAATTCTCAACAGATGAAAATATTTACCAATTTGCGACCATTTGCAAGACTTAACCAAGGACATTTTCCTATAGATTTCAACCCACAGAAGTTAGTTTCGGTTTCATTTCTTCTATAAATTTCACCAATTTTGCAGAATCAGCCACTGAGTTATTGAATCTTTTTATCAAAAAAAGATTTTCAAAATAAATATTTCTAAAATATTGCCCTGAGACTAGATATACGCTATATTTTTGGAATTAATGCATCGAAATCTATATCACTGGTTTTTTTGGGAGTGTTTTGATAACTTTCTCAAAAACAAAATAATTCCATACATCAAAATTTCGCCAAATTTTCGACCATTTGAGACTCTTAACTAAAGACATTTTCTTATAAATCTGGACCTACAAAAGTTAGTTTCCACCGCATTTCTTTGATAACTTCTTCTATTTTTTAGGATCGCCCACTGGAAAATTGCAATCTTTTGGTTCTCCAATAACTGAGTATAGAAAATTGAATTTCAAACCGAATATTTTTAAAATCTTGTCCTAGGATTATAAATACGCTATATTTTTTGAACCAGCATATCTAAATCTATATTCCCGATTTCTTGGGGATTTTTTCGACAACTTAGTCAAAAGAAAAATTTTTCAACAATTTTTTTTGACTTTTTAAAAAATCGATTTTCCAATCGAATATTTCTAAAATCTTGTCCGGGGAGCATAAATACGCTATATTTTTGGAACAAACACGTCGTAATCTATATTACTGAATTTTTTGGGGAATTTTTCAGAACTTTTCAAAAACAAAATTTTTCAATAAACCCCCTTATGAAAATTTCGGCCAGTTTTCAACCATTTTCTAAACATAACCAAAGACATTTTTTATAGATTTACACCTGCAGAAGTCAGTTTCGGCATCTCTTATATAACTCCTCCCATTTTTCCAGAATCGCCCACTGGAATATTGCAGTTTTTTGCATTAAAAAAAGATTTTCAAACATAATATTTCTAGAATCTTGCCCCAGGACCATAAACACGCCATATTTTAGAAATAAGCGCGTCGATTTCGCTGAATTTTTTGGGAATTTTTCGACAGCTTTTTCAAAAGAAAAATTTTTCAATTATGAAAATTTCGGGTAATTTTCGACCATTTTGGAAACTTAACTGAAAACATTTTCTTATAGATTTGGAACTACATAAGTTATAATCGGACTCATTTCTTCAATAACTTTTACGATTTTTCCATAACCGTCCACCCGAATATTGCAAATTTTTCTATTTAAAAAAAAAAAGACTTTCACATCAAATATTTCCATATACATGTTATAGTTTTGGAATAGACACGTCGACATCTATATCTTTGCAGTTTTTTGTAATTTTTTTGAACACATTTTCAAGTGCAAAATTTTTCAAAAAATGAAAAATTTTACCAATTTGCGACCATTTTCCAGAATTAAGTAAAGAGCTAGTCTTATAGATTTGGACCTACGAAATTTAGTTTCGGCCTCATTTTTTCGATAACTCCTTCCATTTTTCTAAAATCGCCCATTGGAATATTGAAATATTTTGGATCTCTAAAAAAATTGATTTTTAGGCCAAATATTTTTAAAATCTTGCTTTAGGACTATAAACACACACCAACACGTCGAAATCTAGATATTTCCGAATTTTTGGGGATTTTTTTGACAACTTTCTCAAAAGCAAAATTTTCAATAAACCCCCCTATGAAAATTTCGCAAAAAATTTTGAAACTTAACTAAATACATTTTTTTATAGATTTGAACCTACAGAAGTTAGTTTCGGGCTCCCTTTTTCCGTAACCTCTACTATTTTTCAAGAATCGCCTATTGGATTATTGGAATTTTTTGAATTTTGGTTTGTTGATTTTATAAATCTTGTCCCGAGACCATAAACACACCCTATTTTTGGAACCAACAAGTCGAAATCTATATCACTGAATTTTTTGGGGAATTTTGTGAGAACTTTTTCAAAAACAAAATTTGTCAATAAAACCACTTATGAAAATTTCGACCATTTTTGAAA